CTTTAGATTCTCAGTGCTGTGCTTTAACCCGCTGCGCCACCAGGGAGGGCTCATATATACCTTTTTATAATGGCCAAATTCTTGAACAGTAATAGTGGAGAAAGATGAAGGAAAACTTCCCAAACGAGTCTTTCTGTTCAAAGAAAGGTGGGCTATGAGTAGATCCAGATTGATGCATTCTAAGAAAACATTGTTTCAAAAAGTGGGGTGCAGAATTCACTTTCCCTTCCCCCCTCCTCCCCAGTCTTGGGCTACATCTATATTGTATTTGAGAGGCATCCCTATTAGATTCCCAAGTGATACAATGTCTGAGTTGTTGTAGTTAAGTGTAAGTGTTATTTCTTCAATGCTTCCTCTTCAGCCTTGTTGCCTGTCAAGTGACTGGGTAGGAAGACTAGGACTCACAGAAATTACAAGCCTTGTCTTTCTTCAAGTCTAGGGCTATTGTTAAGCAATCATTTCTAACTCCTTTCAAAAGAGATGTGAGCAAAGAGCAGCAGCACCAGAGTCTTTTATAGTCAAAACTTCTGCAGGTTTCTTCTCTCATTCCAACTGGCAGGATATTGAGGCAGATGCAATTGAGAAGGGACCTCAGGAGTTTTGTAATCAGAACCAAGCTCATATCCCCACTTGGGCCATTTCTGAGTAGGCTGACCTTAGACAGCTTTAATTATCAGAGTTTAAGTGTTTTTATTTGCAAAAGGAAGGATAACAGCATAGGCTTAATTGTAAACAATACTTAGAACAGTACATAGCCTCTAGCAGGTATTCAATACATCACACCTTGCCTTAAGTGTCACTGCAAGTCAAGCAGGAGGCTTCTCTGGCTGGAGGAGCCTGTGTATGTTAGGTGAAGCTTTACCATTTATTGTTCCTACCCAATACATTGACCAAAGGTCACTTTCCTGAACAAGTCCCAGAAATTCACCCCAAAGAGAAATATGGCAGGAACATCAAGGAAAGGTGATAGAGTTATGTCTCATCCATTGGGTATTCTGTGGCTCCCTTGCCCACCCCCCCAGTCATGTCTGCCCCACCCTCAGATATGCTTCCCTGTTTATCTGCACAAAGACCCATTAAAACAGGAAGCTTGCAGCTATGTCGTAAGTAAGTGCCATTCTATCTCTCCAAAGTCCTTTGAGCAACATCATGCATAAAAATTTTAAGATTAAATGGCTTTATTGTGCCTGAGCATATATGACATATACATATGCATCAGTGATAAAATATTTACTTTTAGAGAGTGCCCAAGTTACAAAACAGCAAATAAAAACAAAGTAATCCCTCTACCACTTTTCAGATATCTCATGGACACATTGTAGTCCTGAAAATGTGAATGTATGCAATCACTGGCTTACACTGATGTCCCAATCAAACTTTCCTGGGAAGCACAAGAGTCAGCACTGCATTCTCCTAAAGAACATTATTTAGTTTTGTTGCGATCTACTTACCTCTTGGGAGCAGCAATTCTTTAAAACTTTCTCATCTTGTCAGCATCAACCTTTGCTACCAATCATTTTTCAAGAATATCCATCATTTATCCCAACAAATGACATTAATACAGTTCAGAACGTGAACTTTTTTAAAACATGGATTGATAAATGAATAAACAATACTGCTAGAGGGGGACAATACAGGTTTAAAAGAGGCTAGATGTGAACAAAATAGTGTTTACAAAGCCTTTGGCAAGATGGTCACACATTACTGGCCCTAAAGAAATATTAGTGCCCTTACTCTTACCTTCCCTTTTATTTCTGGTGTCTGACACGCATATTCCTACTGAGATCTTGGGCAAATCAAGCAGCAGCATCTTTCTGGGTCTCAGTTTCCTCGTATTTAAAATTAGCAAAGTTGTAGCAGGTTTTTTTCCTGTTGAAAACACTTTTCCATCAGAGTCGCTCCTCATGACGCCTTCATTGACTATTTGGAAAAGGCCTGGGATGGTTATTTATACTGTTTCATAGTCTTCCCAATACAGGCAAGAAGTCAGTCTTTCTAACTAGAGGAAGTCTGACTTAAGGGAACATCAGGTGTAGCGGGATATGTGTGTGTGTGTGTGTGTGTGTGAGAAAACCCATTTATTGGAACATCAGGTGTAGAAGGATGTGTGTGTGTGTGTGTGTGTGTGAGAAAACCCATCAATTTATTGGAATCTAGTGAGCCAGGCACGTTCACAAACTTTTACTTTAGTTAACTGGTCTCAGCTGAGATCCTGTTTCCAACATGCTAGAACTCAAAAGCATTTAAAAGTAAAACGTTAACCGATGTTCCTTGTCTCTACCTCTCATTCACCTCCACGGAAATCAACAACACTTTGCAGTGTCTGATTCGACATTTAAACAACCTGGGGGCCGCAAGATTTACTAGAGTTTAAAACAGGTGACCATCAAGTCTTCCGCAGAGCTCGAAACGGAAGAATTCCAAATCAAGGCCCAGCTTGCTTTTACACGCTTAACATCCAACCCCACCCAAGGCCGCGCCCCCGAGTGGTCAGCGCAATCTCAGGGCGTCCCAGCATCGCGCCCGCGACCCCAGCACCCCGTTCCTCCCCGAGCCCCGGGGCGCCAGGCCCGGCTGAGGGCGCCGCAGGCCGCCGCACACACCTCTCATCCCGGCGTTTGGCCGGGGGAGGCGGCCGCAGGGACCTGCAGACGACCGGCATCCAGACGCCAGGCTCCGGTGACGTCGCGAACGGCTCCCCAACGCCTGCGGGAGGCGCAGTCCGAGAGACCGACCCCCACACTCCGGCGGCCCGCGCCAGCCGGGACCTCCCTCCTCCGCAGCTCATCTGCTTCC